TGGTCAAACAAGAGACTCATTAGGACCTAATTTGTTTCAGGCACACTGAGCCCTTTACTATAATCAGACCTGTAGTAGATAATGTCTGACTCCTTCTACCTCATAAATCTATAAACATGACACACTGTTATTCCTCTTCCCTAACTATTAGGCGCAGGAAACATGAGTGCTTCCGGTGACTAAAACTTATGTTTATTTCTACATATCTTTTGCACCGTCCCGCTGAAAAACAGAATCATCATTTCAGTCAGACAGACTAAAACTACTTCCTCATCTGGACACATTTTGGCCACAAACTTGTCGAGGCGAAGGCCTAATGGGGAAAATGTTGTTTCTGCAGAGACTCCAACAAGGCCAACACGAGCTGCTTGATGAACAGTGCTGTCGGAGCAAAAGCGTTAATGTGTAGGCTTTGGAGAATTATGATGAGGTTAGCTTCGAGCTTAGTGGAGTGCATAATACCACCAGTATTTGTTTGTGTCACTTTGGGTTTTAATAAGAAGGAAATAAGTTACTGAATGACTCTGTGGTGTGGCTGGACATCAATAAAACTATCTTCCTGTCTGAGAACTTATGAGCAATTGGTGAATGGAGCTGAAGGTAGCGGCCAGTGACTAATCGACATACATGGACACAGAGGGAAATAATGGGGAAACGTTTAGTGTGTGTGTGTGTGTGTGTGTGTGTGTGTGTGTACTTAAAACTACTGCTGATATGACTGGAAGACAGTCTGTGTGAAGTCGGTGTGCATTTTCTTTCTTCTATGCTCCATTCCTCCATTCTTCCCACTCTGCCCCCAGTGGGAATGCATGCACAGCAGCCGAGTGCTCCATGTGCATGCGTCCCATTGGACGGCTCCCTCCTGACTCCCCCTTCATCTCCCCTCTCTGAGGGCTGGTGGAAATAGAGATGTCAGTGCGGCGGAGACAGTGGAGCTGCGGCTCGGCAGCTTCAGTTACCTGGCAGCACGTCTTAATTCTCGGCAGTCAGAAGTGAAGCAGTGGAGTGTGCACAGAGGAAAAGTAAAGCTTACTTTGAGGAGTCCGGACCAAACAAACAGAGAGAGTGAGTTACCAGTTAAATTTGCAGTTCCCTTGAGCTGTAAAAAGATAATAAAAAGGGGTTGTTATCAGACAAAAGCAGTACAGTGGGTTGAAATGTGCTACAGGAGTGCATATAAAAAACAACACGTTTTTTTATCTCAAGACAAAGCGTATCAGATCCAACATGTTGCCCCTGCCTTCACTACAATAACACCTCTTGCTTTCATGTATTATTTGTGCTGTACTGTCAGTTTTACACCCCCCCTCTCCTTATACATCCCCTCTCTCTACTATTGCAGATGCTGGATAAATAAGCAAGCAGTTTGCTGCCAGTGTGTGAAATGGTTCTTATCTATCTCTGCCATTAGAGAGTGGGTTCTATTATAAAGCTTTGCATTATTCAGTATGCCTGAAAGACTGATCATTATGGATTTCAGCCCTTTTCCGCACAGCCCCTGGGGTCCAGCTCGGCCTGCCGGCTGATGCATGGCCATTTATGACCTTGTGCTGTGAACACTCTGAACTTCTGGAGTGGAAAAGGGGACGAGGTCAACTCCAGACTGTGCATATTCTCAGCCAAACAAGAAGAATGCACCAAAATCTGAAAGCATGTCATCAAGTCTCGCCAGCATTCTTTGCTTCCATGAGACAGAATGGCTTAGCAAAATAAAAAAGTTGACCTTGCATGACCAATAAGCCTGCATGACTGCAACGCTTTCCAAAGTTCCTGGCAACAAATTAGATTAGTTTCACTCTCTGGAAAGCTCCATGAAGTCTGATTGACATCTAATGTAATTTCTCTCAGTGATACAGCAGACTAAGTGGCAGGCACATGGTGAGAATAAGAGAAAACATGGCGGAACATATGGTGCTGCAGCACTTTTTTATGCGTGGGATCGGAGATGAATATTGAATAGATTTAAGTGGCAAGCTGCTCATTGCTTACTGTAACCTGACTGTACTGGGGGTGGGCCGTCTCTCAGCGGGAGCTCAGCTCCATCATTAACATTAGATTTTGCACATCAAAGAATTGTAATCTTCTCTATTTGCTACCATTTCGTAAACAAGTAGTGTGTTGCTGCTGGTCTGTTGAGGATGAATAGAGCGTTGATCCGTTCAGCCACTCACATTCAGGGCTCTAATAGCGAGCAGTGCTTGGTCTGTAAAGTGGATGTGCTGAGGTAAGGAGAACTCACTCCATGCCTGTCCTAGGCCCCGGGAATAAGAGTCTGCCATTGACCATTTGTTATATCCGCTGTTTCTCGCCTACAGCTTGGCACCTTGCTGATTACAACGCGTTGGATCAATAGCCTAATTAAACAAATTAAATCGGACTGCAGGGTCAATTTTCATCCCATCTCAGCCAAGAGCTGCCGCGACGTCATGCGCGAGTCTGGAATAGAAAAACAGAGCCTGTTGAAATGCATAGGAACAAGATTAATTAACTATTTGTTGTGTGATGGCACAGTTTTACGCAGCGCCCCGCCACGCTGAGGCGACACAGAGGGAGAGGACATTTATTTCAGAGCAGGCGGTAAGTCTCCAGCATATTCTCAAAGTCTCCATTCCTCCCTGAAATATTCTGCTTGATGAGAGGTTGGAAAAGACAGTGTGGTCCACTGACCATTATTGGGTGAGGTTGAAGATCAAGAGACTAAGTCTACATCAATACTGCATTTTTGTTTGAAAACGATGTTTAAAATAATCTCTGTTCACTCAAGCATTTGGTCTCTGTGCCAGTTTTAGTCCCTGTCTATACTAACACAACAGAAAAACCACTATGGCTACCGTTCACATACACTTGACATGCTTGTGTTTGTGTACATGGGAATGGCTTGTATGAATGTAAGTAGTAAAAGAATTGAACTACACAACAGCTGTTAGCAAAGACAACAGGTGATAGATTTTTAATGTTGCGTTCTACACTGGTAGCCGAGGCTGATGCCAGTTGTTCACAAGGGGGTCATGTGATAGGAGCCTGACGAATCAGAGAAGGCTACGTTCTGACTGAAATGAGAGTCTGTGTCAGTGTTTCCAAACATCTCTGTTTCTGCCTGTCCAGACTGAAACCCAAGCTCTGAAGTAGTGTGGACGCCAGGCGTATCTGTACCAGAGTAGATGGGATTTCAAACAAAAATGTAGTCGTGTGGATGAAGCCTGAATCCTACTGTCCCAATGCAGCATTATGGGGTGGAGGATAAGTAACAAGAAAACACATCAAAATGCACAGAATTGTAAGTGCTCACATTTTTAAATAAATCTCTTTCTAACGCTGACATATACACACACTTTATTCCAGCACATTCAACTACTTTTATAATAGGAGCAGAAAACAAACCATGGACCTCTGCTACATACAGGCCTTCTTCTATTAGGAAATTTCCCTCCATGTGCCAAGTTGGAAAGACTCAAAGACTGTTGAAAAGAAAAAGATGCCACACATTTCCTTCAGTTTTCGAGTTCAAAGTGGAGCCTCACAATGAATAATTTGTGTCGACTCCTTCCCACGTTGTTTTCAGTTTAACAATAAAACTGTCAAGTATTTCACGAAGGATTCACCAAAACTTGGGTGGAAACAACTTGTATTGCAGAAATAATTTTTTTGTATTGTTATTATTCTAATGCGTTGCTTAGAGGGAGACAATTACCCATTGATATGGAACAGTTCTTTCAGTGATGTACAGTTGGAATCAGCTCAGGTCAAGCTGTTTGCTCACAGTTGTCACTTGTTATCCCATCCTGATCTGTGTCAGAGTGTTGTAGCTCTTCCCTGAGCTGTGTGTCTTATTTATTCATGCCAGATCCACAGGGGTTTAGTTACATAACTGTCTGTTTAATTATTTGGAAACATTTCACTTTACTTTTAGCGCCTCTGTCTTATGGTGGTGGTGGGATCAGCACATCAGAGGGGCCTATAAGCATCTCTGTCAGACTCTGTCCTACCAACTTAGCCCTGACTCTTCATGTTGAGCTGCTTTATTGACACGTGTGCCTGTTTCTCCTCACTGCTGCCTCCAAGAAACATCTGAACACAAGCCTTCCTCATTGTAGAATAGGTTCTAATCTACATCAGGACAATATCCTGTTGTAGAAGCTCTGTCATGAGCAGCCTGACCCACTGTCAACCACAATTACAGCAGGAGCATGGATGATTAAGTTGTGAAAGCCAGAGAGAAAGACAGGGAGGGGAAATTAGAAGTGGTGTTAGGGACTCCAACTGTGGGACAGACTCCTCTGAAGACTGGGGAGAGGCTTTAATTTAAGGTAGACCAAAATCTTTGTTTAAAAAGGCTTCAAATCTCTGCCTTACATAGGAGGGTTTTATAAACCCAATGAATAAATGGTTATTCCATATGCTCTAACAGGGTTATACAGTATTATGACATAACAAATACAGCTGAATCTGAATCTGTATATATATTTGAAAAGTACCACCAGCTTCTCAAATATGATATAATATAAGAATGTAAAGAAAAAGCCACCTATTGTCAAGGTGCTTTTCTTTAAACAGTGAAAATACTGCACAAAGATGAAACTCATCTCAGTTTATCAAGTTGTATCATGAACAAAATGACTCGGCCTACCAGAAAAACTGAGATTTTGGTTGACTGGCTGATTTTGATTTGTGAGGACTTTCTCTTGTTATTGAGTGCACGGACATTAGTGCCTTATTGAGGACAAAGATCTGAGCTGACACCAAATGAGTCATATAAAGGCTACAGAGAAGTGATCTGAGCTACATCATGCGAGGCATCATATGGTGCACTCTTCCCTTGAACTGTTGAGTGTCCACACGCGCTTTGTTCCATTACAAATGACGTACGACCTTAACTGAGGGGCAGGGCTGTGCGCTCGGCAGAAGCCGCTGCCTCCCTCACTGATGCAGAGGATGTGCCGCCTGTCTCCGCTATATAAAGAGCTCAGAGCGGCCAGAGCGCACAACTCCGTGGTGCTGAGACCTCAGAGACGCCACGCACACGCTCACCCACTCACGCACACTCACACACACTCTCTCTGCAGCCGCGCAATGACTGGAGCCATGGACGGCTTCTCGTGGAAACTTTTTCTACTTTCTTGCCTGGCTATGAAGAGCTGCGCGCAAGACTTCGGACAGACGCAGTTTATTTGCACGTCGGTGCCCAAGGATATGGACTTGTGCTCGGCTACGATGCAGAACAGTGGGCCGGCGGAGGACCTGAAGACCACGGTCATGCAGCTGCGGGAGACCGTGCTGCAGCAGAAGGAGACCATCATGAACCAGAAGGAGACGATCAGGGAGCTCACCTCCAAGTTGAGCCGATGCGAGAGCCAGAGCCTCCCCGCGGCGGCGGGACCCGGCGGGAGGCGGCCGGGGTCGAAGAACACGATGGGGGATGTATCCAGGGGAACCACGGACACTCTGGCTCAGCTGGGACAGACTTTACAGACGCTCAAACAGAGACTGGAGAATCTAGAGGTAGGCAAGCAGAGGAGCGCAGGAGAGCAGGGGGAAGTTAGGTAGATTGGCTGATCTGGGTCGTTTTCAGGATGAGTGTTAGAGCTTTAATCAAATGCTGCAGTGTTATTCTGTGCAGTCTCTGCTGGGGCCACATGTATGTTAGAAGCCTGCATCTTTTTTTCATGGCAGCCAGAGCAGTAAACCAAGTTGAAGATAGCTGTCTTTTAAACAGAAACAGTGGAGCATCAGATTGGACAGGGCAGAGGGAACATGTGCCAAAGAGTTTAGCACCAGAGAAAGTGTCCCATGTCCCCCTCTAACCCAGTGTCTGTCTCCCCTCTGTCCAATGCAGCAATACAGCCGGGGGAACAACACCGTGCAAGCCAACAGCCTGAAAGACCTGCTGCAAAACAAGATAGATGACATGGAGAAGCAGGTGCTGTCCCGGGTCAACACGTTAGAGGAGCCCAAACCGGGCCCCAGGAACGACACCGAGCAGCGGAACCGAGTGGAGACCACGCTGACCTCTCTGCACCACCGGATTACAGACCTGGAGAAAGGTGCGTTTGGATTGCAGAGCGCACAGCACAGAGCGGCTCAGTGTTGCTTTCAATGTGTCTCTGTGGAAATTCCGCAACGATTATTTCTTGTGATTTAATTGCTTTTTAAAACCCAAGGGTGCCTCCGCCTTTAGAGAAAGAAAATGTTCGGTATTACTGCACTCATGTGAAAGCGCTCACGGTGCCGCATCCATCTCGTTGCGCACAGATAGTGTGAACGCAGAAGGGAGAGCTGCATTGCTTTGCATATTTCAACACCTCTTAGCACCTTTGCTTCTCTCAGTTTATGTTTTTCACAACCAAACCAGGACTGTCACACTATGACTAGAGCCAGTGTATGCACAGGGTAATTATTTTTTGGGAGAGGTCAGATGCAGGGGAAAGTTTGGAGCAAATATCAAAGGCTTGTTCTGCTCTTCAACACGTGCAGATGAGCCTGCGTATGATGCGAGGGAGAGAGAGAAGGAAAGAGAGTCCTCCTACACACGGATAACGGATAGAAAATGATAGTAAAAACAGTTTTTCATAAATGATCAGCTGGGAAATAGATAAAAATGCCTTTCTCTTTATCAAATGTTCATGGATGTTAAGGAAATAAGGGGTTTATGAAGTTTCATCCTTCAGGTAATGCCTCAATATATGTACAAAATGCTCACTATGTATTGATGTGAATTTGTATTGATATGAATTTGGCAGAAAAACATGTACATGCATGTCATTCACAGGTAAAGAGACCAGGCCAACAGATAAGTTCCAGCTCACCTTCCCCCTAAGAACCAACTACATGTACGCCAAAGCCAAGAGGAGCCTTCCTGAGATGTACACGTTCAGTGTGTGTCTGTGGATCAAGTCCAACGCCTCGCCTGGAGTGGGAACACCCTTCTCCTACGCTGTGCCGGGTCAGGCCAACGAGCTGGTCTTAATTGAGTGGGGGAATAACCCCATGGAAATTCTCATTAATGACAAGGTAATGACAAACTCAACAGTATAAATCACATTTTTTTTCTATCTTCAGTGCTTAACTGTGGCCTCTTTGCATTCATAACCATCATCTTATCATGTGAAAGAACCTGCAGTGATTTCAACAATAGGAAAAAGTGAATGTATTTTGTGCTTGGCTGTGCCAGAGTGACCTGACATCTCTTCAGTGCCAGAACTGGAAATGGAATAAAAATAGGTGCTAATTTGAGCAACAGAAGGTCTTTTTATAGAGCAACAGATTTGTGAGATAGGAAGTGATTCAGCAGGAAGAAGAGAAGGTGTGGGGAGTGACTCTGCTTCCCAAGTGTAAAAAAGGGGATTGTTGAGTGGAGAGAATGACGTAACTTATGAAACGTCTCTGCTGCTGCTGCAGGTCGCAAAGCTGCCGTTCCTCATCAACGATGGAAAATGGCATCACCTCTGCATCACGTGGACCACCCGTGATGGGATGTGGGAGGCCTTCCAGGACGGAGTGATGCGGGGCAGCGGGGAAAATCTGGCACCATACCACCCCATCAAACCTGAGGGAGTGCTGGTCCTGGGACAAGAGCAGGTGGGTGTCCAATAATCTTGGCCAATTATGGCTTTTATTTTAGACAAAGATTAAATGTGGATATCTTAAATATCAACAGTCCTCTCAGATAAAACTCATTCTCTTATTACATGGGATCTTGTGCTCAAGTACAATTTTATTTTCACCTTATAAATCTTTCTCCAGTCAGACAAACAGGATTGTGAGCATCACTTCATTGCTCACATTTAAATCTGATGTTGTACACTGTCCGTCTCATTCCACAGGACACACTGGGAGGAGGCTTCGATGCAACACAAGCCTATGTTGGAGAGCTGGCCAACTTAAATATCTGGAATAGGAAACTTTCCATTGCCGAGATCTACAACTTGGCGACCTGCAACAGCAAAGCACCGGCTGGCAACGTCTTCTCCTGGACGGAGAGCAACATTGAAATATTTGGTGGAGCGACCAAATGGACCTTTGAGCCTTGCCGCTCCCTCAACTGAACTGCAACTTCACCGTTCAAAAAATGGCCTCTCTGTATTTCTGAGCTTTTGTCGTTCTTGTCTTCATTTGACGTTTGTTAGAGACTACTTGAGTTGTTGGTACGCTTAAATCTGGGATTTCTATCATTCTTAGGTATTTATGTGCAAAACAACACTTTCCATCTTGAGGAAAAAAAAATCTTACTCGTCTTGGGAACCTCAGAGAAAGTATTGGTATCCGTTGCTTTTTTTCACTCCCCATGGACGTTCATTTAAAAAGCACACTTAAGCTTTTCGTTTGGCTTATTTTGCCTTGGACTGGCAGCTGGCAATCTGCGCCTTATGTTTGGACAATTCACAATCCAAGTGAGGAATTACTTAACCGCCCCCACCCCTTTTCCCCCAGGAGAGCGGGAGATTATGCTGTCCATCCAATTCTTGTCCGTGTTTGGCGCCGTGAAGTGTTGTCTGATGCGGTACAGCTCCTTGCGAGCCCCCGACTTCCCGCCCTCCCCCACTTCCCCTCTCCGCTCCCACCCCTCCGGAACTTGCACTGTGACTGACGAAGGGAACGCCAGGAGAGGAGGATACGCTGAAGGACACTGCAAAGTCAAGACTGTGGTACAAGTTGTAATCATTGTGTCGCTTCAAGTGATTCTGTAAGAATGTCGTTAACTTGCCAACATTGCTACAAAGCCTGGGTGCCTTGGGCTGGTAAAAATATTCAGCACATTCAGTATGTTTTCAGTTGCAAATTCAGTGTTTCTGTTTTATTTTGTTTCCCTGAGCTGGTTTGAGTTTCTTGTTCCTCTGGTAAATGTAATTTAATTACAGTTTGTTATCTGACATGATGTGTTTTTGGCAGGTGTTTGTACTACTCTGTATTAGGAATGTTACAGTATCTGTATAGTAACAGCATGAATGACAGAGTGCTGTGAAAGCATTGTTGAAATCTGCTTTACTATCTTCTCTGGGTCTGGGTTTTCTACTGTATTGTTATATGCTCCAAGCATGGCAAAACTGAGAGATGAAGAATTTAATTTTTGTAATAAAATTGTGATACTTAATGTCACAGTGCACTCCTGACTTTGGTTGCGTGCATCAAAAGGTGGGATCACGACTGAGGGAAAGGAATGTGAGGAAAGCCGACACAATCGCAGATTTAATCTAACCTTTCTACCGTGTCACGCAGAGTGAAAAGCTGGGGAAGCTAATTGCAGGATAAGTGAAAAATCCAAAGGTAGTCAAGGTCACCAGGACGGGGCTTCAGACAAGAAATGAAACTGTGTGGGTGTCTGTGTGTTTCTATTTAAGCTGACTGCAGAGGATAACCCACTCGCTGCTTTGTTGTTCCTGCTGTGAGATGCGGTGCCTGCACTAAAGACAGCAAGGCTCTCGGAGGGAGGAAAAGTGCCTCGTCATATCAGCCTTTCAGGGGCTGGGTTCAAGTGAGTGCAGCCTAAACTCAGACTGCAGCACTAAAGGCTTGACTTTGATTATGGATTCACTCAGAAGACCTGTTGCTGTAACTCCAAACATTTAAAGTGAAGAGATGCTGCTGGTGACAGTGACTGCATTTCAAGTAGACACTTCATCTGTTACTCCTGCGTCAAGTGGTGAAAGCAATACATCAGAATGACACCATTTGTTTTATCAAACCGCAACATGAGACAGTTCTGAGAAGCTCTTCACAGCGGACAGCCGTTATTTTTCTTTAACAATCCATATGTTGAATCATTTCAGGTCCAGCTTGACATTAAAGGAGACTTTTCAAGCTTTTTCTTATATACAAAGTGAACTCTCATTGGACCACATGGCTGAAACTTTGACTCTTCACACCTCAAACCTTTTCAAAGCTTTAAATTCAGCCAACACTTGCACTGTCAAAGTACCTTTAAGCTTGACCTCTAAGAAAACGTATATGTTACCGTCACCTTACTGACTTATAAAATGTGTTGATTGATAACTGATGATTCAAAGTGTTCAACATTCAACCATCTTAAGCATGAGTTCAAATGACATTTCTGCTCTCAGCTTAGAACACTTCAGTCCTCTTCAAACTTATATAATTTTACCAAAATAATTTTTTATAAGTTCTAAAAAAAAGCATGTGCAGAGGATGCCAGAGGGGAAGGGGACCAAATTCATAGAAAGGCCTTTTTTGCAACAAGAAAAATATGTCTGAAAAGTATCTAAAACAAACCCATGACTGAGGTTGGTTCTAACACTGCTACAAGGCAGTTATGCAATGATAAATAAAATAATAAATGTATTTCTGTAAATTCTCCTCGCATGTTCATGTAAATCAGACCAACTCCTACATAATCCTCTGAATGACATCCTCATCCTAATACTGCTGAGGCACTCTGGCTGAATGGCTGCCTCTTGAGCCTCCATTTCCACCTCTCACCAGCTCTCCATAGAAGATAATTACTTTAGTGTCAGCAGTCAGTAAGAAGATGCTGATGTTGTATGGCTAAGATACAATACCACAATGTGCATACAGATTATATATACAGAAATGAATCTATTTTTTAGAAAAAATCTACCAAGGAAAAAAGGCACCCTTTCCTGTGGGAGCTAAAAGGGCAGGTGTGCACATGTATGCTGACAAACACCAACAGACACGTCAAACGTTTTTCAGCACTTCAGCAGTTTGAAGTTTCAGTCCTCAGTGTTCGGTAAACTCATGAATGAATTCATCGAGCCCTGACTCAAACGTTATTTGGGAAAGACAAACTTGTAGGTCCTCAGAGGGATTTTTGTTCAATAAATTTTTGTCTCAACCTTGACCTTCAAGTGGATTTTCTTGAGCTGAGAGAGAATCTGCATCACCTTTAATCTCCCATGATGCATGGCAGCTATAAGCCAGGGTCAAGAACCTGTTAAAACAATGACAAGGCATTAATACAAGCAGCCTTTCCCTGTCACCACATTTAAAATACACAGACACACACACACACACACACACACACACACAGGGCAGAAAACAATTTATGCTGTCCCTTAGCCACACTGACAGATGGATCCCAAAACACTCGGGTTTATCAGCCAATTACATTTATAGAAAATACCAGGCAGCTAAAAGATGACTGGGCCCTGGCCAAAGTGGCTGTCACTGTGGAAAGACTTTTCAACAATATACAAGATGTCGCTAGAAGTTTGCCCCATCCCTTGGAAACAAAAATACTCTTAGTATACGCTTAGTAACACTTGATGAAGACGTTTATGTGTTCTGATGAATGTTATTTAGTGTTACTAAACAATAAGTGGACCCACCTATTAAAATATAACCACAGCCACATAAGCCTACCTCTATGTTTGATGCCACACACAACACCCATCAATGGGCACACAATCATTATCACTGGGTCTGCTTACTACGCTCAGCCAATAGCCTGTCGGGGTAATGCTGTTAAGTCCTGACAGAACACAGTTCTGCAGCGCTTCAGCTTTGTGCAGATTTGAAAGCAGATGGACTAAACTAGATCCAGGCGGATGATCTTACACCTTGTATACATAAGACACAAAGATCAAGCCACCTTTACATGAACTGAATCTCAGCATTACATGATGAAATAGTTGGGCTTACAGCCTTTCACCCACATTCCCTCCACATGAGCACTAAGGACGCCACATGACTTGAGGACGATGAGTTCAAGTTCTGAAGTGTTGTGAGACTTAGGCTCTGGTGAGACAACAATATATGATTCAGGAAGTCCAGTTGGCGCTAGCTTGTCTGCAAAGCATGTCCAGGCTCCTACTTACTTACACAGCACAGTTCTCCAATGCCCTTCCCAGCAAGTGGTTATTCCACGTGTTGTTGGGCCCCATAGGCCAAGGCCCCGATACCAAATGTTCGCTGGTGACCTCCCCTCCCAGGCCTGGTTTTAGGAGGGGGCGATAGTTTGCCTATTTCAAGCGAGGTTGGCCAGGGAGAGAACCCCAGGCAAGACCTAGAAATCACTGGAGGAATTACACATCCCATCTGGCCTGGAAACACCTTGGGACCCTCCAGGAAGAGCTGGCTAGGGAAAGGATTGTCTATGATACCCTACTTGGCTGGATACCTCTGGGACCTGAGTCTGGATGAGCCAAAGAGAATGGACGTATGGATGAATGGATGGATAAGAGTCCAGTTGGAGAAATACATTGATGCATTTAAAGGGTAAAAACAACTATTTGACGGTGATGGTTGTGAGGTACAGACTAGTTTCAATGCTACAAACAAATCTTTCAGGGAAGTGTGTTTGCATATTTGATTGGCCAATATAGCCCCCTACTGCATCACATTGTGTTGCACTGCAGCAAAAACTGACCCTCAATTAACTTTTTGGCCTGTGTCAGTGCCCAGAAGGCTAAAACAATCTGCCTTCCAGCATTGCTAATTTCTTCAATTAGCATATAGTATCTTCACTTTTGAAACAAACACCAGAGTAAAAATGAAAAGACGTGTTTTAGTACAAATGAATGAATGTGCTTTACAGATGCTGATAGAAGGACACATCATTTATTTTTAGACAGAGCCAGACTGGTCTTAATGCTAAGCTAGGCTAACTATCTCTTGTCTAACTTCATATTTAGCCGATCACTGATGGTATCAATTTTTTCATCTTACTAGCAGCATAAAATAGGAGAAATATCAGGAGCTACATATAATTAGCGGAGAAAATCAGTGTCACAGACACTGTACCGTTTGCTGCTGACCAACAAAGCATACAAACACATCATGAGCATCAACAGCATAAATCATGTACTCATGAAGGTTAGCCAGACCATAAATAGAAGGACAACAAATAGAAAGACATGCAACACTCACAAAAACAACCAATACTGTACACCTGGTTTTCTATCCACATGCAGATCATGGCTGAAATTACAACACAAGTCATAAACAACTATACAATGAGCTGTTGCACAAATACATATTATATCAAATCCAGTCTGAATCAGTGATTAATTTGATTTTTGGGCCAAAATGAGTGTGTTCCATTGATTTAGTCCATTTTATTTGAGTAAAAACGTAAACCTGTCATAATAAAATAGAAGGAGCCATGCAGCATTTTTAAAGATGAGGCCCCCTGAGTCAAGCAGCCTGAGACAGACAAGATTCATGGTGCTGCATTATATCAATTCCTCCATAGAGGTTGTTTTTTCTTTTGGAGAGATTGAGTGGATAAAGACGTGACATCTCTGCTGACATCTCATTAATTCATAAGCTGTCCCCAATGGCAGAGGCAAGACAGGAATAGTGCTTCATTTCAGATCTGCAGCAATTCCTCTTGTTAATATTGGAGTGACAAAAGTGGTGCCATGTAATGAGAGTTTTGGGGGCGCTGTGCTCAACAAATAAAACTACGAATAATGTCTGCTGAAAGACTACGTGTTCCTTCAAAGACCAGAAAAATGGTTTAGTGTTCAAAAAATTGACAACCTGCTTATTTCTGCACTGGAGCCGTTTCATGTTGAGCTTCAAGATTTGAAACGGTCAGAGGGATTTGACTCGCAGCAGATGCCTAAAAGTGGAGTGCCAACATTTCTCTCTTTCTCCTCACAAGGTTGGGAGACAGAGAGAACGAGCACCTCCTCTTCGTTCTCCTGGTGAGAGCTCAGAGAGACAGCAGGGAGCCAAACTCATGGCATTTACTGATCAGCAGAAGCTTCCAGGAAGGCTGCAGGGAGGATAATGAGGCTTCCTGTGCAGGCTGGGATCAAGGTGGATGTAGGCCACGCCAGGAGTCTGCTTTACTGGTCAGGACTCACTGTGGGACAAAACTCTCCAGTAAATGAAGACTTGTGGAGACGACCCACTCTGTTTCAGCCAGCTACCTTGAAAACCTAAGCTTTTATTCCTCTCTATGCGTAGCCTAAATATCACACACGTCTCAGTGGGCTTCACAGACCCACAACAGAAACAGTTCTCGACCTGAAGATGACATAGACAAATGTGTGTGACTATGGGAGAAGTCCTGAGAGAAAAAAGCAAAGAGAGAAGTCACCTCCTCTGGTCGACGAGAAACTAAAGGTGGGAAGACGTGACTGAAGAAAACAGAGAGCAATGAACACATAATGACCATGGCTTAG